TATTTTTTTTTTTTTTTTTTTTTTGGGAATTAGACTTCAATTCTTACATAACCTTTTCCTTAGGATGATCAATGGAAAGTAGTGTGCTGAAACTACCGAAATTGAGTGGTAGCAGGAGTGCAGGGCTTGCTAGGATTTGTCCTGTCAACTTCATGTTCTGAAGTTGAACTTGATTTCTGGCACAGTTTATACTACCCCTTATTTTCTTTCTGAAAATATTTATTGTCATTGTTTAACGGGACTTGTTGATGATTGATTGCATTCTTAAAATGTATTGAGTCTAGCTAGGCGTCTCGTGCTATGTCTTGACTACCATGTAATATAGCATGGTTAACCCGACAGTAACATCATTCACAAATTATAGTAACAGTGCATGATTGAATCAGCAGGGCAAAGCAATTCAAAGTGTCTACATTTTATATCAATATAGAGTATAGGCTACTGCTAATATTTAACATAGGCACCAAAGTAGATTAAAAAAGAGACTGGAAATGTAGAGAAGTATTTCATTTTTCTCCGCAGCAGTCCTGCTCGAGCTTTAAAACACATATCCAGGCAATGCAGCAAAAGGTTCAGAACCTAGCGATCTTGTAGTGAAGAAACGATGGAAATGCGAGAAAGAGATCTGAAGATGTATCGCATGAAGTTGAGAAAACAAATGTGAGCACACAGTAAAAGCATGGAGTGGAGTGGCAGTCAAAAGAAAATGGCACATCTTACTATAACTTGTTTTAATGCAACCCCCTTACTATAACTTGTTTTAATGCAACCCCCTTTGTTCTCTTTTCTTGACATAAAATGGGATAAATGCGCGCATTAATGACAAAAAAAAAAAAAAAGCAAAAATTGTTCTATTCCTGTTTATTTATTGAAATGTAATTTTTTAAAAATAAATTTTAAAAAAGTATTTTTTTAAATAAATTATTTTTCAATATTTGGTAGTATAACAAAAAAATAAGTTAAAAAATATTTTTTAGTATTTGGTTATGTTATGAAAAATAACTTATTAATATTTTTAAAAAAAATATTAAAATAATAAAAAACAAATCTTAAAAGTTTGAATAAGAATAAAATTAAAAAAAAAATATAATTTTATAAATTATCTCAAATAAAATAAATAATAATTAAAATAATAAAGATTAAATTTAAAAATTTAAAAATTAAAAGATGAAAAAATTAAAATAATAATAATAATAATAATTAATATTTTATAAATTATTTTAAATAAAAAAGTAACAATTAAAAGAATGGAAATCAAATTTAATAGATAAAAAATTTTAATTAAAAAATAATAAGTAAAAAGCAAATAACAATTATAAAAATGAGAATCAAGGTTAATATAAAAATTAAATTTTAAGAGATGAAATTTATATATATAACAATCAAAAGTTTGAGAACCAAATTTAATATAATTAGCAAATAATATAATATTTTTAAATTTTTCACAACTTTCGAAAAGTGTTTTCCGCTCAAAATAAAATGAAAACACTTTCCTAGAAATCAAGCTAATTTTTTTTAACTGAAAAGTATTTTTTATCGACTAACTTTTTTAATGACAAACAAACACAATAAAGTTTAAAAAATAATTTCTAAAAATCACTTTTTATGAAACAAAAGTACCTTTAAACTATAAACAACAGCAAAAAATGCAAAGAGCAAGTTTAAAGTACATATGTGAAGGTGACTAAAAGGCTTGATAAGTCTAAAAATATCTTTGGAAGTATAGTTGATATTGTTTTTTAAAGTTTCTTTTCACTCATAAATGTATTAAAATAATATTTTTTTATTTTTTAAAAATTATTTTTAATATCAATGCATTAAAATGATCTAAAAACACAAAAAAAAAAAATTAAAGCAAAGAAAAAAATAAAAAATTTAAAATTTTTAAAACCCTTTTAAAATATAAAAATAAATAGTACCTCACATTTTATTATTTGACCAATCAAAAGTTTTGTATTTTGCAAGTCTTGTTAGGGCATCTCCTTTATAAGTTTTCAAGTGAAAGAATCACTACAGTAGTATCAAATAATTTCTATGATTATAGAACACGACATGAAATGATTGACCTACAATCAAAAGTATTGTACAAACATTTCCTTACCAAGATGGATTGACACGTTGCCAAAAAATGTAGATATAAACATATAAATTTTGACCACCAAAAGTTAGTAAATATAAACCTCAAATTTATAATTTTATTATCTAAAAAATATTATTAACATAGTATCCTTTTTAAAACATTTACAAAACTTTAATTAAATCAAAAACTCTACCTCAATTAAAAAACAAAATAAAAATATAAAAATATAAAGAAAATAATTATAAAATCCAAAACATTGTATAAAATTAAAAAAAAAAACAAGGAAAAAAGTACAAAAGTGGCCCAAATTAAAGGTTCGACGTGAGTTTTTTATATTTAATGATCTGATAAGATGTGTAGTTCTACAAGGATTGTTATTGAAAAAATAATCTTTGAAAACTTATATAAAAATTTAAGTTTAATTTAAAAAATTACATTAAAATTTATATTTTTTAGGCTATTATTATTATAGTATGAAGTGACCAGATTTCTTCTTAAGTTTAAATTGGTGTCACTAGTTTATAAATATATTTATTATATTATTTATATAATCTATTTATAATATTTTTATTTAATTATAACAAATTTTCATATAACTATTTAAAATCACTTATTATTTTAATTTATTCTATATCAACAGAGCAGTTGATGACAAGAAAAATAAAAAGAAGATACCTACGAAGAAAGGAATGATAAGAATTTTTATTTTTAAATTATTTTTATATCAATATATTAAAATAATCTAAAAATACTAAAAAAATTAATATGAAGTAAAAAAATAATTTTTTTAAAAAATATTTTGAAAACATAAAAATAAATAACACCTCACATTTCATTTTATTATTTGACCAATCAAAAGTTTCGTATTTAGCAAGTCTGGGCATCTCCTTTGTAAGTTTTCAAGTGAAAGAAACACTACCGTAATACAAAATAATTTCTAAGAATATATAACATGACGTCAAATGATTGACCTACAATCACAGGTATTGTACAAATATTTCCTTACCGAGATGGATTTACACGTTGCCAAGAAATGTAGATATAAACATACAAATTTTGATCACCAAAAAAATTGTAAATATAAATCTCAAATTCATAATTTTATTCTCTAGAAAATAATATTAATATTGTATCTTTCTTAAAAAATTACAAAACTTTAATTATACTAGAAATCTTACCTCAACTAAAAAACAAGATAAAAATATAAATCTAGAAAAAAAATAATTATAAAATCTGAAATAATACATAAAATCCAAAAAATAAGAAAAAAAATACAAAATTGGCCGAAATTAAAAGCCCCAGGTGAGTTTTTATATTTAAAGATGTGATTGTTTGTGCAGTCATACGGGGATTGTTATAGGAAAATGAAAATTTATGTAAAAATTTAAGTTTAATCTAACAAATTAGATAAAAAAATTATATTTTTTTAGATTATTATTATAGTTTGGAGTGATCAAATCTCTTCTTAAGTCTAAACTAGTTTTATTAATTCATAAATATATTTATTAGATTATTTATATAATCTATTTATGACATTGTTATTCAGAATCAGTTATTATCTCTACTTATACTATTTCAACAGAGCAGTGGATGACAAGAAAAATAAAAGGAGACACCTACGAAGGAAGGAATGATGAGCTTTTTTAAAAGAGATGCGGCGGACTGTGAAGAAAGCAGCGCCAGTATAGCAACCTCTTTTCTTTTCTTTTTTCTTTTATTTGGCTATTTAAATAGTTGTAGGGGCATAACAGAAGGAAGCTATTATTGAAGCAAGGGACCAAACCTGCCTGTGCGATGAAGACGTGCTTTATTTTATTATTATTATCTGGGAGGCTGAGGTGGTTTATCATGTGGCTGAGGTGGTTTTTTAAACCATGTCTCAGCGAATATCATGGTTGTAGTAATGGCTTGTTAAAATCACAGGAGGAATTACAACTGGTGCTTGGAGCGCCAGCAGCAGAAACAATGTTGTTGCAAATCTAAAAGCCTCCTCCTAGGCTATTAAAACTATTTAAAAAAAAAATTATGTGAGAGTATAATCAGTGTTATAAAATTCGGTCCGGTATAGTCGGTTGATTTAAAATTTAATTGATTTGATAGTTTGATGTATTCGGGTTTAATAAAAAACTTGATATAGCATCAGCTTGGTCAAACTCGGGTAACTTTGCAGGTTGACCCATGACCCTGGCGACTTGAGCGAACCCGAAAGAGACCTGATTTTTTTTTTCAAATGTGAGATTTGAAATTCATTACTATATATATAATTTATGTTCTCAGATCAAACTCGGGTAACTTTGCAGGTTGACTCATGACCCTGGCGACTTGAACGAACTCGAAAGAGACTTGATTTTTTTTTTTCAAATGTGAGATTTGAAATCCATTACTATATATATAATTTATGTTCTCAAGAAAAAAAATCATATTTTTTCAATATAGGATAAATTTTTTTTTGATTTAAATATTTCAATTTAAAAAGATAACATAATATTTTTTCAATGTGGACATTCCATATATATACTTTATGTTCTTAAGAAAAAAATCATGTTTTTTTTAATGTAGGATAAAAAAACTTTTTAGTTTAAATATTTCAACTTAAAAGAATAATATAACATCTTTTTAATATAATATTTGAAGCTTTTTCATATATGTACTCTCTACTCCTATGAAAAAAATGATATTTTTTTAATGTAAGATTTAAAACCTATTAGTATATATACTTTATGTTCTAAAAAAAAAGTTATGTTTTTCAGTATGAGATAATTTTTCTTTTATTTAAATACTTTAACTTAAAAGTTTAATATAATATTTTTTTAATGTGGGGTAATTTTTTTTTTAACTATTCTTTTAAACTTCATTGTTTATAATATTTATAACCTATATTTACATGAATTTTTTTATATGGTATATTAAAATTTTAATTGTTTTTAATTTTTCCAGGCTGATCCGGGTCAACCCTAGTTGACTCGGGTTGACCCATAAAACTTGGGACTCTGCTTTTTGGCCGGGTCAACTCCCGAACCGGGTTTAATAAGCATAAGTATAACTGAACTGATACTTTAAATTTATTTTTTAGAAATTATTAGTTTAAGTTTTATAAATTTTAAGGTTACTAATAACTTATATGATTATTGTTAATTTAAATTTTATAAATTTTAAAATTTTAAGATTACTAATAACTTATATGATTATTACTAATTTGAATTTTATAAATTTTAAAATTATTAATAAATTATACAGTTATTAATTTTAATATTTATGTGAAATAAAATTAGTTAATTTACATGTAGTGAATATTCACATTAATTATATATATAAAAAAACATCACCTGCAAAGAATAAGTCCGAGAGCCCAATGCCTTAAACACGGCTGTTAGATGCACTAGCAAGAGCGACACAAATCCAATGGCTCAAAACTGTAAAACCATGCATGAATGTAAGACAAATGGTAAAACAACAAGCAAAAATGTTTGGTTTGGACCAATGATGCGAGGCAAATCGATGAAAAACGCATTTTTAGCAAAAATACAGTGAAGTCAAACACTAATCAAGATATTATTTAATTATTTTTTAATCACTAGGATTAATCAATCTGTTGTGATGCAGTGCAGCGGGCTACGTTATAATTAATTATGAAGTGGAGGAAAAAGATGTTCAATGAACGATTTCCACGCGTCTTGCCATGG